AGGAATGCTCTGACTCTCCCATAGACTTGTAGGGGAGATACTGGGCAAGTCACCTTCTACATAGATTTTGTTTCTTAAGTGCAATTCTACAGATCAGGAATTACAACTGTTGTATAAAAGGGGAATAAAAATAAATAATCTCTATCTCTTTCACAAGAATGCTATAGTAAAAAAAAAGACTTTAAAACAAAATACAAAACAGTGTCAAATCAGTGATATATGACAACAATAATTGGTGTGGTAGTATTACCCAACTTTCTCCTCCTACAACCTACTAAAACACAAACACAAAACAAAAACAAACAGACAAGAACCCCTATACTAACTAGGCCAAATCCTTCCTGCTGCTGGATTTATATTGCGTCGATGTAGCTATGGAAGAACTGCACTTTCCAGGATTCTTTCTCTCCTATGTTGTTCTGGTTTATCATGGCCCACGAAAGACATTTTTGCATGGGATTGAGAAACTGAGAGTTTAGCAGCAGCCATGGTCCTTTTTATGCTCAGAAAGTCGCTGAGGGGCAGCAAGGCATGGACACAGCATACACAGATGGTGCTGTGCTGATGGCTGACTGGGTTTGCAGGACAGCAGAGCCTGTAGCTCCTGAACTTCCCCGTGGAGCCTCCTGCAGTTTCTCTCCCACCTGAGCCAGGTGCACGTTGAGCTCTGTGATGAATTTACTACCTTCTCCTGCATGCCACCTGGGTCATCAAAGTTGGAGGAGTGAGAAACTAATGCAGGTTCCAGCTCATCTATAGGGGTTCCATTTTGTCCTCACTCTCTTTCCCAGTTCACACCCATTCTCCCTCCTAAACAGCCACCACCTGACTTCAGACCCAGGACCAGGCACAAACACAACACACTTGCCTTGAAAACTTAATCATCAGCCACAATCCACAATTGCATATGATTGAATCTCTTGAAGGGAACAAAGGAACAGTTGCTCTGGATTTTGAGACTGGTCTTAGGCAGAAAAGGGGACCGGAGAATAGAGGACATTTAATCATTGCAGTGGGACTTCACTGGCAGTCCAGTGGTTAATACTTCACCTTCCAATGCATGGGTGTGGGTTCGATCCCTGGTCAGGGAGCTAAGACCCCACATGCCTCATGGCCAAAAAACCAAAACATAAAACAGAAGCAATATTGTAACAAATTCAATATAGCGTTTTAAAAAATGGTCACATCAAAAAAGAAATTTAGATTCTCTTCCGGTTTATAAAGCATACAAGTAAAACATGGACTTATTTTGAAGTACTTTGGCTGTTGAACAAGCTTTCTGAAAGCAGCACTATGTTGAAACTGAAACACGTGGGCCCAGGTTTTAAAAGTGTTAAATAACGTATGAAACTGTTGTGCTGTAGGTTTTTCTACAAAAATGTCAAGCACCCAAAGAATTTTAAAAAGGGAAATTACTGTATTATTTTTAATAACTCTAGAATTGACTGTAACTCTAAAGCTCTTTTGGGTTCCCTGAATGAAAAACTTTAGAATTACATGCCTAGAGTAATTTTAGGTTAGGGAGAAAAGAAAAAAAGAAAGATTGAAATACATTTGTTAATAATCATCCATTAAGAACCTCCCTAGGGCCAAGTCAGTTCAATCAAACCTACTGGAAGACGTTTGAATTGTTTCAAAAAATGTCTCTGATGTTTCATGCTTACACCATTTCCCTAAAAAGACTGATAAAATTAATGACATAAATTGCTCTTTTCTTTTATTAAATGGCATAACATTGTCCTACTGTAAAGATTCAATGGCAGAATAAAGTGAAAACAGCTGTTATTCTGAATAAGGGCGTATTCAAGAAGGCAAGCCTTGCTGACTTAGAGAACTATTATCTCATATCCAAGTCAGCTGCCAGAGTGATTATGGCGTAAAAGGGATAACCTGAGAGTTCAGTATAAAAGGAAGGAAGGCCGGGAGGAGGGGCAGTAGGCATGAAGGGCGGTAGGAGCAAAGGGAGTGAGGGAAGGGAGGGAAGGAAAAAGGAAGGAAGGAAGGAAGAAAAATAAAAGAAGGGAGGAAAGAAGAAAAGAGATCCAAGGAATAGCA